CCCCAAAACCCCAAAACCCCAAAACCCCAAAACCCCAAAACCCCTATTTGCTCATACTTTATTGAGTTTTATTACTTAGATTATATTTAATATCATCTGGAGTTTATTTGATGGAGAAAATTCTATCAAGGCTGATCCGATAAGGCTGTATAGGGTCAGAACTATCTCCTCAGTCTTCTTCTTGACAAACTTACTTCTGTCATCTAACAAGTTGTATACCATAGGGAGCACCTGCTCTGAGAGAAGGACAGGGGTTTCAGCGTACACATTGGGTAAAATAGAGTTTAGTTTTCCTAACAACATCATCTTAGATCTTTGGCTGGTGTTATTGACAGCATTACACATTGGCTTCACGAGGTTTGATGCCTTTTCATTTGCTATTCATTTATCAATCAATTCTTCAGCCCTAATTTTGATATTCTCGTTGTTTGATCAGTACAAGGCAGCTTGAGAGTTCATTATTGTTCTCAGATTAGAAGGAATTTCGAGTTTATTTTCTTCATAATTATTTATTAAATATTCTGCAGCTCTTGATGACACTTTAGAGTCATGATCTTTTAGCCGAGCAAAAACATCTTTCTCGTTCAGAGTTGGGTTATCTGCATCAGCCGTTTCTCTTTTTCTAAAGTAAGAGGAAATCCTTACCTAAAATCAGGAGGTTGAGGAATGCTCTCTTGATTTAGTTTCCTTATATTTCTCCTCGCTATTCTTCTATTCTTTGAAAAGTTATTTGGGGTTGACTTCATAGTTTTATTGTCTTCATTATCTGTGAAAATCTGGTTATTCTCTCCTCTTAAAATATTCTTTGACGAATTATTAATCTCTGAATAAGTCTTATTAATCCTTTTCTTTTTCTCGCTAGTTCCATAATCATAACTGTTTTGGTAGAGACTTCGTTTTGAGTATGAGGAAGGACTTGGCTTATTATTGACTCTAGAGATGCTCCCGCTTTGGTTCATTTTTACTATGCTCTTACTGCTTCGATATTTTGAAGGTGTTTTCGTAATGTTGCTATAATCGAAACCATTTGAGGCACTTCCACCTTCTCTCATTGTCTTTCTTGATGTACGATTACTACTTCCTCGATAGAATGATTTACTAGTAGGATTAAAGTCTGACATTGAAGACTGAAAGCCTTTTTCAAAGAGATCTTTTACCTTAGAATAATTTTTCTCATCTAAATTATTCATTGTAATTTCTTGAAATTGCTCCTTGTCTAGCATATTTGATAATTCTTTTAATGCATGTTTAGCATCAGATCTCACATCTTGACTAGCATCTGAGAGATAAGTAGCTAGTTGCCCAAGTAATTTGGAGCTTCCAGAAAAGCTGGATATTCTTTTACCTAACCTGATGATTAGTTGTTCAAGGCATCTTGCAACCTTCATTTTCACTAAGTGGCTTCTATTTCTGGCATGCTCAAGAACCGTGCTAAGAACTTTTGATTCATTACAGTTTTGCGCCATTTTTAATAAAGATTTCTCAGCTTCTGCAGAAATGAACACATTAGTGTCAGAACCTTTCTTAATCATAGCATCTGTGAGGTCTTTGAGCTCAAATTCCATTCTATGAGGTCACTTTTCAAACAAATCTTGAAGAAGAAGCATCCCATTTTTGGAGACAGAACTTCTAAGAGAGGAAGCGATTTTAATAATATCTCCGATTATAGATCTCATAAATGTAGAGTCTATTAACTTTGTGTCATGAATTGCAATGCTTCGGAGCACATTGCAAGCGTTTACTTGGGTCTCCCAGCCTTTAGATGTTAAGTCTTGGCTAAGTTTGGTCATAGAAGCTTGAGGGTTCTTTAGTCTCTCAATTTCTTCAGACTTTATGTACTTATCCCCTTCATCACTCATTACTGATTTCTGGGTAGATCGCATGAATTTATTCCCGCTTGCGGTTTCATATGGTTTATCAATATTTATAGCTTTTTGAGGAGTGAAAGCATCAACTGTCTTGTTGCTCATCCTTCCTGGCTTAGCACCAGATCCTAAAACTCTATGATCAGCTTTGATTGGTTGAGCTTTCCTTGAAGAGTTATTTAGTCTATCAACATTTCTTTGGCTTCCCAATTTCTATAGGAAGTTATAAAATTGTCTTACATTTGCTGAATTATGATCTTCAAAGCTATTCATTATCCTATTTTCAGAGTTTTTTATTTTTAAATTTGAATTCCTCTCAGCATACCCTCTAGAATTGTTCCCAATCTTTACGTTTGAGTATGGTTCAGACTCTTCAGAGCCAGCACTCCCAACTCTTATTTTGTCCTTTAGAAGCCGCAAATTCTGGGTCATATCTTTAGGCTTTTCAATATCTTGAGTTGTATTTATCGGCATTGAGAATTTGTTATACTCAGATGAATGCATACTTCCTCCAATATTTTTAACTAGAGGAGGCTGACTCCCATTAAACTTTTTCATTCTTTCTGAAGGAGTTGGGCCATGCTTATAGCTGTCAGCTACTGTAAGACCATTATTATCTGTAATTTCTCTTCCTTTCTGATACTCGAATCCTTTGTAGGTAAGAGGAGAGTCTCCAATCCTGCTTCTTTTAGCCTTCTCATTACTCATATTTCTTCTTGAATTGTCACTGAAGTTTGAACCTCTTGAGGACATATTTCTTGTAGACCCACTTGAAACAGCAGGAAATTCAAAAATCAGGCTATCTTCATAAAATTTAGGACAACTTCCTTGGTCAAATCTATCACATAGCCTGTTGTATTCCTTTGGTTCAACAAGTTCATAGAGGGCTTCAATTACTTTGTTTTTATTACCTTTAAATACAAGTGTTGCAATAGTTTCTCTTCAGGTGAATCTTACGGTCGACTTTGGATCATCTAGCAGCTTAGCGATCTGGTCAAGTATGGTCATATAATCAAAGTCATTCGTATTTTTGAGAAAGGATACCATTATAAGATGCAACACTTCCTCCCGAATATGCCAACTTGGAGAATTTAGGTATGGCAATATCATATTCAGGTAATTTGTCTGCTTCATTCCCTTCATTAGAAGGAAAGATCTCATGACTAGTTGTCTGATTTGGATATTACTATCTGCCAACTTCTTAACCAGCTTAGGTACTATCGACTGGCCATTCACGTTGTCAAATTCTAGAACTTTGTTGATAAGCTTAAGAATATTTCATATAAGCTTTGAGTTAGTCTCCATATCAAGTAAATTTGAGAGATACTTTAGAAACGAGGAGGCATAACTGGATAGAGCCTTGAGAGAAGAAGTTTCTTCAATAATATTGGAAATAGCTTCCAAAGCTTGACTTCTAAGAATCCAATCAGAATGAATGTCTTCAACTTGCTCCATTATTTCACTGGGAATTACTCCAAATGCGAGTCCATCAGGCCCATAAGCAACTGAGTTCATCTTCCTTCTACCCATTCCTGAGATCCCTGCTTCTCCTGTGTAGCCTGAATTAGAATAAGCAGTAGGGTCATAACTTTGTTCTATCTTGCCATTCACCATAGAATATTTTAATGGTTTTTGGTCATGAGAGATCTCCCTTCCAGGAATCTCACCACGATCAGATAACCAATGCTTCTTAACATTGTAAACATTATCTTCCAATAAAGAATTATTAATGCTGTCTATTGATCTGTTAGACATCCTGAGGCTATTACCTCTCACTAGAGAGCCCAAGCTTGCTGAACCTAAAACAATTAGTACATCTGCAAACAATGTCGCTTACTGTTGGGAGCGTGCCTGTTTAACTCTTTTTCTAGCTGATCAATATTATCTTCCTTTTTATCGTCTCCTTTGAGCTTAACTAGATATTGTTCGATATTTGCTAGATTATGTTTTGTACCCTCAATTCCTAACTCTGGGTTCTTGACAACAATGGCTGGCTTCAAAAACGATTTATTTAAACCTCCTGGTTGAGAGCTTAAATATACCTTGAGGCACTCAAAAGTTGCTGAGCATACGGGGATCTTAGTTGAGCCTAAATTCTGGACTAATATTGGTATAAGTCTAGAAAAATAGATATCCAAGTCTGGGTTGTCGCTATTTCAGCAGAATTGATACTATCTCTGTGCATTGTAATACAGGGTCAAAGCTATGAGAAGCCAATACGTTGTAAAACCCTTTAAATAATTTCTTGACATTAGCTATCATTAATGCCCCGTCATTAGTATCAAGAGATTTTTTCAAAGAAGTGAGGCCTTGAGAGACAACTTCTTTATCAATACTTAGGAGAGAATTTAAAATTTTTTCAGACTCCATTTATTTCCAAATTACTTATTATAGTTCTAAAATCCAATTTATTTTTAAGAATTTGGGGTTTTGGGGTTTTGGGGTTTTGGGG